CAGCCTGCAGCTTGCCTTGAGCCAGCCCATGAGGCTTGGGGCTCCCACCCCTGCAGTGGCATGCTGGCTCGGCCTGCTGCTGGGGATCCAGGCAAGCCACAGGCCCCTGGTATAAACCCATACCCTATTTTAAGGCCACATTAAAACTTCTTTAGTTGTCTAATTTGAATCCCTGTTTGTGTTCATGGCAATCTTCACAGTTGACTATCTTTGGTCAGCCCTCTACTGCATTAGAGATAAATACTTCTGAATATGGTTGCTGTTAAATGCTGGTTTTATGTTAAGTGCAGCGAATATTAAAGTCTGCGATGTTGGCAGGCAAAGACATCTGTAATGGGGGACTAATGAGTGGTTCAGCTATATGGTTCGTTTTTCAAACATAAATACACTTTGATGCTTTAACTTCTAATTTGTTCTTCTTTCTCTTAGAAAAATTATCCAGAAAAATATTAAAGAAAAGAAACTCCAGGAGGCCAGAAAGGAGTCTTAACTACAGATGGCTCCAAAAAGTTGACTACGTTGTACGATCTTGCCACCTAACAAACTGAGTTGATACTGCCACCTGTTGGACTCTCAGACTGGGGAAATGTAGGGTGGTAGCAAAGAATTGGGGAAAGATTATGGTCACTCACTGCCAACATTTCTTCCCTTTTTTGTATATATTTAGTGGTATCACAAGAAAATCCTTAATGGGCCATGGGTGGACGAAGTCCATAGGAGTACTTCTTATAGAAGTGCAAGAATATACTCCTGGAATGAAATACCCCAGGCTTGTGAGCACTGGCTCACAAATAGCATCTACTCGGATTACAAGTGTTACGTAATTGCATTGCTTCTTGAGAACACTGTTTATTCTAGCTTGAGGTATAAAACCAACTGTAATGGGGTCGACTCACCAGCGTGATGCCTTCAGCTGGATGACTTGGGGAATTAGCTGGCTGTTCTGATGAGCGCTGTTGGTGTCTCCCCGTGTTCTCCCATCAGCACGGCATCCTTTTCAGGACACTGCCCTCCGGCAGTGCTCACTCTGGTCTCTGCACCCCTTTCCACAGAGGAGGGGGTTGTTTACTCCTCCGCATACTCCAGGGTCCTCCCAACTCCCCAGGACCTCCAGTTCTTTCTCCCCGGAACACCCAGGTCCCAGGCAAAGGGTGTGGACCTGCTACCTCTGCCTACCAGGCTGCCTCTCACAGTCCTGGAGGCTTCAGGCCTCTCGCAGCCCCTAGTAAACTTCAGGCCTGGTAGCCTGGGCTTACTTGGCCAAAGCCTCCCCAGCCCTACCCACACCCAGAATCTTCTCACTTCCCTGGCAGTCAGGTCCCTACTGCTCTCCCTCCAGGAGTCCCTCTTTATAGCCCCCAGCTGGGCTTCCCCTTTCTCTCAAGCTCAGCCCCTTAAAGGCAGGGCAAACGCTCTGTCACACCAACCTTCAGATATGTTCTGAAGTTATGGCTAAGGAAGTCAGGTACATAAGATCAGAGCACAAACAAGCTTCATTATTGCGCTGGGTAAGGATAGCTGTAGAAGATTTTCTTAAGTACGTTGTCTCTCCATTTAATGTACAGGATAGACTTCGAAGACCCAGTCTTACAACTATATTTACTTTTTTTTGCCATATAAATCCATTAGAAATAGATGGTTCGCAGCAGTAGAAAGAGACAGGGAAGTACATCAAACAATTGCAAAAACATTGCTGAAGCTTTATTTCAGGGGTAACCTTAAACCTCAAAACAGAATAAACGGGATCTTCACAAGGAAAACAAAATTTTTCCAGTCTGTTCATATATCCCTTGCAGAACAAGTATGCAAACACAGTTTCTTTGTTTGCTACATAAGGAACACCCTTCACAGTTTATTCTGTTCTCTTTTCACTTGTTAAACCCACTTTGTTTATACTCCTGTTTCCTTAGGAAGTAGTTCTAATAGTTCCAGAGTGGCTGTTTTTTCATGAGGATAACCCTTTCTCATGTCACCATCCTTGTTATTGGAGAGCTCCGTTGAATACTCTTAGGAGTTGCACCTCCTCTAGGATTTGTCACTGTTAATCCATTTTGTAAATGGATCCCAGCCATGCATAAATTATCTACTGTAGGCTGTTGCTGATGTTTCTGTTGAGATCTGTAGCCACTTTCTGAGATACAAGTTTTTTAAATTAAAATAAAACAAAACTGATCAAGGATCACTTCAGATTCCTGCTTACTTCCAAGTTAGGCTCAGATTGTTACTTTACACCAGTGTTTCCCAATTTTATTTAGCCACGGAACCCTTTTAAACTCGAAATAATTTTGCGGAACCCCTAATAACAGTCTAATATATGGAGCTGAAAAAGTAGACCACAAATAAGTAAGGATAATAAACAAATGCTAAACAAGGTTGAGGTAAACTAAATGTTGAATTGCACATATTTAAAAACAAAAATCACATAATATGAATTATTATTTTTTAAATCATAAAATGGTATTGTAATGGAACATTACCCCAGGGTTCCATGGAACACCATTTGAGAAATACTGCTTTACACACATCTATTGTGTAATGACTGTAAAACAATACATTTAATAGGGACTTTGCAGAAATTGGTGTCTTTTTCTGAAATCTAATCTGTCTGCATTCATATATGCGCCTATCCTCTAAAAGATTTCCCCAGTTCAATAATTTCAAGTCCCTATTGAAAGTCAGAGAGGGCCTTAGAGCCCTCAAAAATACAAACATGCCAGTTGGAGGAAAAATGGGAAGTGTTTGGCAGTTTTACAGAGAAGAGTTCCCACCACTTCCCTATAATAGCATTACTAAATTGTAACGGTCAGTGTACCAATACTGTGCTGCATGCTGTGGGATGGAGCTAACAGGAGGAACGCTATTAGCTTGTGATGCTGGGTCAAATCCCTCATTTTACACCAGGACATGGGATCATTAATGTCCATGCACTGCAAGCCAGCATTTTATTTTTTTTCAAGGATTTATTTGCAGAACAGAGTGTACTGCATGAAACTCAGTTTAGCTGCTTAGCAGGAAAGAAGCCGGACTTAGATGTGAATGTGGTTTCTGAAAGTCTAAAAAGTACAACTGGCACTTGAGCAGTGTTTCTCAACCTTGTTTTATAAAGTACCCTTTAAAAAAAAAAAAAAAAGTAAAATAAGTACCCTTAGTGCCTACAGCTTTCAGACGCAGAAAATTTTTTCTACCATTCCAACACATTTGTTTAAATAACTTAATTGTAGCTGGGCGGGCAATGAAATTTTTGGGTGTAAAAAGTACAAAAATATTAAAGTGCTGTAAAACTTAAAACAAGAATTCAGTTTTCTTCAAATTTCAGTTGTGTTGATGTATCCCCCAGACTTCTCTCAAGTACCCCTAAGGGTACTCGAACCACTGGTTGAGAAACACTGCACTAGACGATGAAGCAACATAAGTAGCTGTATATCCAGTAGCAGGTGGTATTGTGTTAAGCATTGCTGGATTATGCCATAATTTGTTATGATCTTTATACCTGGCAGGTGGCAGATCTGAATTTTCATGCTTCCTAATGTCTGAGCAGGCTTCGTGGTTCTTGCTGATCTCATGGAGAGAGATGCGCCACTGCTGCTCAGTTGCATGATTAGCTAGCAGCTCACACGTCACCTAATCCCAGAGTGCTAATGTTAAAATACTTCTATACTTTTAGCAATGGAAATGGGATGAGTAGCAAATTGACTCAAACATATACCAGATCAACTAGCATAGAGAGCATTTATGCAGGGTACTGTACAACAACTGCTGCTTTTCCTGGTCCTGAGAGAGGACAGTGGCAATACTGAGAGATGCATTTATGGCAGGATTCCACCATCAGGACCATAACATGTAGCCAAAACATTCCTTAAGCAAAGGAGCAGCGTGCAGCCTCAGGTAGAAGATTCTAGCACCTGTGCAAATGATCAGAAATTTGAGAGGGTTAGGATAGCTGGACTCTGCTCCTAATCCTGCAACTTCCTGCAGTGGAAAAGGACTCTTAATGCTGCTTTTCTCCAAGCTGTTCCTCAAGGCATCAAGCATCCAGGGGATAGCCTCTAACCTGATGCAGCTCATGGACTATAAAAATGACAAATCTATAGTACTAGCCAGTAAAATGACTTTTTACAGATCAGAACGGAGACGGACACATGGTCTCTTGCATAAAAGGAATGGGCTTCTTTCATCACTGTTGGGAAGAGGAAACGAAATCTGAAGCTGTTTCAGTGCTAGCTCAGGCTCGTACTTTCAGATTGGTGACATCTACAATATTGCACTTTCAAGACAAGCAGCAGATCTTTGGGGAGAACATAGAGCAGAAAGGGGAGAGACTGTAAAAATTACAGTAAAAGCACCTCTGACGTTACTTGCAACTTAATTTCTCTGAGACAACCCATCTCTTTCAAGTATTTTTGGTGCTTATTAAAAATAGTATCTTGTATGAATGCAAATTCTATTTACACACCTTTTAAAGTTATTTCTCAGGAACAGTTCAGTAGACATCAAAGTACCATAACAAGTGACAGTATTAACCTTAACGCTGGGATAAAAATACGCAACATTTCCCATTTTTTCATCTTGAAGCACTCAGCCTCTTGAAGTAGATTGGAGCCCTAGCTTCACCTGAGAAAGCAGCTTGATATTATTTTGGGCAAATGCTTCATGAGTTTAGATTTAGACAGTTTGGTGGTGTCCTGAGACACCCTCATGATACTTGCCTTCTGCTGTAACAAACCAAATTATGGTAATCTATGCTCTGAATATCTGTTTTCTCCACCTGTTGTGCTTGTAGGATATATGAGCCTGAGGAAAGTGATGTTTATAACGTCTGCTTTTAAAAAAAAGATGAATCCCAAATGTAAATTACACAACTTAATGTTGTAATGGTTATCGTAAGTGCAAGGATGTGTGTGAACAGTTTAATTATCCAAGATGTTATAACTAACGATGCCATGTCTAGCATATTGTTCCCGCAGTATCACAACAGATTTTGTTTACCAAATACTAATGGCTTTCAGAAACCTTAGACAAGAGATTTACAGTTCTTAATTTTGCAGTGCTACATCATCTCTAGCATAGGATTTCAAAGCATTTTACAAACATTTTTACAATATTTAAATCATGTAGGTTAGATAAGCACACCCATTTGACAGAAGGGGAAGTTGACCTAATGAGTCTTTGACATGGTTGCTACATCATGAACAATGCCAGTGTAACAGAAACCAGATTGTCTGCCTCCTAAGACTCTATCTTACCCATTTAAACTACCCACACTCCCATTCTAATGAGTACTGCTTGGTCCATTCTTTTTACTTCTTTGCTTGCAATTGGCAGTTTGGTGCTTGAACTAGCAATGCATAAAAATGCTATACGGATAATAAAATGCAGGACAATGTAGCACTTTAAAGACTAACAAGATGGTTTATTAGATGATGAGCTTTCGTGGGCTGACCTAGAACAACGTTTCCTCAACTCCCGTCCCCTTTCACCCCTCCTCTACCTACGGTACATCGATGACATCTTTATGATCTGGACACATGGCCAAGAAACACTGGAGATATTCCACAGAGATTTCAACAACCTACACCCCACCATCAACCTCAGCCTGGACCATTCTACACGAGAGATCCACTTCCTGGACACCACCGTACAAATCAACAATGGAAAATTAGACACCACTCTCTACAGAAAACCCACTGACTCATACAGTTACCTACATGCATCCAGCTCCCATCCAGAACACACCACACGATCCATCGTCTATAGCCAAGCCCTTCGATACAACCGCATCTGCTCTAACCCCACTGACAGAGACCAGAAGCTTCAGGATCTCTACCAAGCATTTATAAACCTCAACTACCCACCCGGAGAAATAAAAAAGCAAATTGAAAGAGCCAGACGAATACCTAGAAACCATCTACTTCAAGACAGACCCAAGAAAACCAACAATAGAACACCACTTGTCATCACCTACAACCCCCAACTTAAACCTGTCCAACACATTATCAATAAACTACAGCCTATATTGGAACAGGATACCATACTCAAAGAGGCTCTGGGAGACAGACCCATAGTCTCCTATAGACAACCACCTAACCTCAAGATGATTCTTACCAACCACCACAGGACATACCACACTAATACCAACCCTGGTACCTTCCCTTGCAACAAACCCCGTTGCCAGCTTTGTCCACATATTCATTCTGCTGATACCATTATTGGACCTAACCAAGTGAGTTATAAGATCAAGAACACATATTCCTGCGCATCCAGAAATATAATCTATGCTATCATGTGCCGAAAGTGTCCGTCTGCTATGTACATTGGACAAACATCTCAGACACTTCGCCAAAGGATTAATGCCCACAAAACAGATATCAGACAAGATCACAAAGAGAAAACAGTTTCTTGCCACTTTAACCAGAAAGGACACTCTCTAAATGACTTAGCCACCTGCATTCTGCTACAAAGACCTTTTACATCTGCACTTGAAAGGGAATCCTCTGAACTGTCATTCATGTTAAAATTCGACACTTACCACCAGGGACTTAACAAGTCTTTGAACTTTCTCACCCATTATCAAGACAGTTTCCCCAATTATCACCTGTAATACCATTAACTCACAAACATCCCACTCTCCCTACCTCTAATATCATCAATTCACAGACACTTACCTTCCTTCCTCCCCCTTCCCACCCCCCCGCATTCCCCTTCTGTTCTGCAATGTGATTTGTCCTTTTCATATTTGTTCTTTTTTTTAATTGTATCCTTTGGTATATATGGTTGTGACTATTTTCTTCCACTATTTGATCTGAGGAAGTGGGTCTGGCCCACGAAAGCTCATCATCTAATAAACCATCTTGTTAGTCTTTAAAGTGCTACATTGTCCTGCATTTTGCTTCAACTACCCCAGACTAACACGGCTACATTTCTATCACTATACGGATAATAATCTGCAAACTGCCCACATAATATCTGTTTAATCTACATGAAGAAGAGCACATATGACTATGAAAGATAAGTAGCAGGGCTGCTGACAGTGGTACCTGAAATTCTTTTACTCAAGGGCTGTGTTTTCCGGAAAAGCAGCTGCTTTTCCGGAAAAACTTGCCAGCTGTCTACACTGGCTGCTTGAATTTCTGCAAAAGCACTGACGATCTCATGTAAGATTGTCAGTGCTTTTGCGGAAATACTATGCTGCTCCCGTTCGGGCAAAAGTCTTTTTCCGAAAAACTTTTGCGCAAAAGGGCCAGTGTTGACAGCAGAGATTTGTTTTCCGCAAAAAAGCCCCGATCACGAATTTTGCGGAAAACCACGTCTAGATTGGCCACGGATGCTTTTCCGCAAAAAGTGCTTTTGCAGAAAAGCGTCCTGCCAATCTAGACGCTCTTTTCCGAAAATGCTTTTAATGGAAAACTTTTCCGTTAAAAGCATTTCCGGAAAATCATGCCAGTATAGACGTAGCCAAGTAGTTTGACACAAAAATAAATAAATCAGAACATCATCTTAAAAGAAATGGAGTAAAAAAGAATGGTTACAATTAAGGATTTTAAATATGATTTTAATATAAAGCTTGAGCAAACATACCAATGTTTGTGGGATTGGGGCCAATATACCTATATTATAAAATGTGTAACACATGATGGCACATAGTTTATTCTTGATTACCTGAACTTCCATTATTCAAAACAGCTTAACTCCTTACATCTGTTACCTAGATTGAAAATTCTCTTTATTAAAACTTTTTCTCTGGCCTCCACGACATTTGGAGAATTGCAGTTGTCTTGTATTAAGCCCCCAGTGCTGTAATTTGAAGTGTGTTAAACTATTCATACTCTTAAGCGTAGATCATCCTTTCCCCAACCAAACAGTATGTATTTGTAAGATGCAAATGTATTTTTTAAATACAGGTTGATGAGAATGAAGCACTAAAATCATAAAATGCACGATATCATTTCTCCCACTATACAGTGACAACAATTTACTTGCCACAGTTCAGAGTGAAGCCCTGGTGGCAACGTGGATGTTAGAAACTGGGAAGAGCACTTGGCATTGAATTCTTTGTGATACAAATATGCCAGGCAAACTAACAAGTGCAGGTGAGCATGATTAGGGCAGTTGTGTTATATAGTTCAGAATGCTGCCCAATGAGGAAGAGAGAACAACTTTACATTGGCAAACAGTCCTAGGACCTATTTGAAATCATGGGAAGGTGGGCGGGCTTTCTAAAAGCCCCTCCCCAGCCTTATGGGAGGGACACTGAACCCATGTTCAACTGAATCCGGGGGACAAAAAATGATAACAGGGTCAAGGAGTGCGGGTCACAGGTTTAAAATATGGGAGCCGGATGGGGACACCGAGCAGAGAACCCCGGACAGCGCCCACTGCTCCTCAAAGCTGTCGATGGAGCCTAGGGTAAGATGAGATCCAATAGGCTACACAATGAAAAATATGAGCCACGATGTAGCTCATCATGGACAATCTGAAGGAGTATCAACTAAAATGGCTGGGTTAGGAGAAATGACAAGATATGGGATATGTTGGTCAAATTGTACAAGAGCTAGCTGTTCTGGGGACAAAGACCATAAGGAAGACCTGGAGAGATGTGGTTTGAGATGCTGGAGGGTGTGAACAAGTATGTCAGCTTGGAAGGTGTATTTGATGATGATGCTTGGAGATGAAGAACAAGAGCTGCTGACCCTGAATGATGGGCAAGGAAGTCAGAGAAGCAAGTAATCCCTCTAAGAGCTACCTACAATTCCTCAAAGACAAACCCTGACAAGTTTTTGAATGAAGGTGCTGGCCCCTTTGGAAAACTTAGACATTGTCTCCAGACTCCCAGGAGGGTCCATAGACCACAGGTTGAAAACCACTGCTCCAGGACAGCTCTCTCTCTCTCACACACATGCACCTATTCATCTCCCTCATCAGGTGGTATCATTTTATATGGTTTCTTTAGGGGCCGCATGTATCCCTGTTGCCCTTAAGACAGTGTAGTACCTACAGGATCTCGGGGGGGGTACCCATAGGGTCTCATATATCCCACTGCAGGGGCATGGTGAGTTTTTCTATGTGACTTCTGTAGGGTGCCTATAGCGTCACATGTATCCCATCCCCAGGACAGGATGGATTTTTTTATAGGCTATCTGCAAGATCCCTGTCGGGATCTACCTCCTGCCGAGGGGGCCATGTGGGTTTTTCTGTCGGGTGTCTATATGGTCACATATCCCATCTCCATGGCAGTATGGGGTTTTTGATAAGGCCTGTGGGGGGCCTATAGGGTCACCTATCCCTCAGGCCCAGAGTCGTTTGGGTTTTTTTCTACTGGCTGCCTAACGGACCACATATATCCCATACCCAGGGCAGGATGGCTTTTTCTATAGGGTCTCAGCAGGGCAGGATGCCTACACCCGCAGGGCCGTGAGGGTGTGTGCAGGGAGCCTACAGGGTGACATATAGCCCATCCCCGGGGCAGGGCAGCTTTTCCCTATAGGGTTTCTATAGGGTCACAGATCCATCCCCGGGGCAGGGCAGCTTTTCCCTATAGGGTTTCCATAGGGTCTCATATCCACCCCCCGGGCAGGGCAGCTTTTCCCTATAGGGTTTCTATAGGGTCTCATATCCATCCCCCGGGCAGGGCAGCTTTTCCCTATAGGGTTTCTATAGGGTCTCATATCCATCCCCCGGGCAGGGCAGCTTTTCCCTATAGGGTTTCTATAGGGTCTCATATCCATCCCCCGGGCAGGGCAGCTTTTCCCTATAGGGTTTCTATAGGGTCTCATATCCATCCCCCGGGCAGGGCAGCTTTTCCCTATAGGGTTTCTATAGGGTCTCATATCCATCCCCCGGGCAGGGCAGCTTTTCCCTATAGGGTTTCTATAGGGTCTCATATCCATCCCCCGGGCAGGGCAGCTTTTCCCTATAGGGTTTCTATAGGGTCTCATATCCATCCCCCGGGCAGGGCAGCTTTTCCCTATAGGGTTTCTATAGGGTCTCATATCCATCCCCCGGGCAGGGCAGCTTTTCCCTATAGGGTTTCTATAGGGTCTCATATCCATCCCCCGGGCAGGGCAGCTTTTCCCTATAGGGTTTCTATAGGGTCACAGATCCATCCCCGGGGCAGGGCAGCTTTTCCCTATAGGGTTTCCATAGGGTCTCATATCCACCCCCCGGGCAGGGCAGCTTTTCCCTATAGGGTTTCTATAGGGTCTCATATCCATCCCCCGGGCAGGGCAGCTTCTCCCTATA